GCGATAACAGTCATAACATTGAGTTTAAACATACCCCCCAACATATAACCCTTACCCACATACATTCCGCTTTTGGTAAGAACGACCTTGTCGGACTCAAAAACCATGCGAAAACATGTTTACTGAGAAGAGACCCTGAGACAAGATTCTTACGAATGTCCGGAACATACAGGACTTCGTTCAAGGTCAGCTCCTTTCCTGACGTCAACTTCAGGACCACCTTTCCTTTCCCCTCAACAATCGTGGTAGCAGAGTTTCCCATAAACAACTTCTCACCATTTGTAACTGGTTCGAAAGTTGTAAATAGCTTCTGCTCGGAGCAAATGTGGCGTGTAGCCTCAGTATCAATCCACCATTCTCTTGGGTTTGAACCCACCAGATTCACCTCAGAGACAACGGCAAACAAGTGCATATCATCTTCCTCATGGGAGTGCTCTTGTAAGTCTGCCATATGAACACGAGGTTTGGTCTTGTATGGCTTCTTCTGCTTGCGGCAGTCACTAGCCCGATGCCCCTCGTTACCACAGTTATAACACTTCCCAAAGAACCGATAACCTGGTTCCTGCGGCTTGTAAGCCGACTTCTTTGCAACACCACCCCTTGGCCCCAATTTAGAGCTCTTGTTCACATGGGGCTTCTTCCTTATCCCAGAAGATTTGCCATGCTCAACGACATTGGCCTTTACTGAGGAGGTACTCCCTCCTTTCTTTCTATTATCCTCCTTAATCCGAAGTCAGACAACCAGCTCTTCAACTGACATTTCCTTGCACTTGTGCTTCAAGTAATTCTTGAAATTCTTCCAACCATTGGGAAGTTTCTCAATGATCACAGCAACTTGGAATGACTCGTTCAAAGGCATCCCCTCGGCATGAATATCATGCAAGATCACTTGGAACTCCTGGACTTGGCTTATCACAGTTTTAGAATCTACCATTTTAAAATCAAGGAACTGGCCAACCACAAATTTCTTTGCCCCGGCATCCTCAGTCCTGTACTTATTTTGTCCAGAGATTCCCATAATTCTTTTACTGAGCACTTGGAACAAAACACACTATAGAGTGAGTCTGCCAAGCTGTTGAACACATAGTTCCGGCAAAGATAGTCTATCTGCTTCCATGTGTCAAGTGCCATGACTTTCTGCCTGTCAGACTCATTCTCTGCCACGGCTAGAGGATCCTCGCTCAGAACCTTGGCAAGGTTAAGCGTGGTCAAGTAAAACAGCATCTTTTGCTGCCATCTCTTAAAATTTTCCCCAGCAAATTTTTTTGGGCGCTCATGGTGACTAAGCGGTCCTCTCGAAACAGCCGGAGTAACACCAGGGTTGACCACAGAGGTCACAGCAGTAGGGGTTGGTAATCCAGTTGCCCCGAGGTTCAAATCCCCACCAACATTAGCAGTAGCAGCATCAGTGATAGTTGCCATTTTCGAAAATTACACCAGAATATCACTTCTGTGTTTCCAGAAATTAAACTTAACCCTTAGAAAATCCCTTAGAAGAAAAATTAATTCAAAAATTAGTCTCACCACAAAACCTAGAATCGAACATGGTCAAGAAAGTTCCCAGGAAGACTAGAGGGATCACATCGGTCCCACTTAAAACCCAGTTAACCTTTTGACAAAATTTTTAAGAGGATGTTGACTCCTAGTCCGTGATAAACAATTTTAAGAATTAAATTTTCTTAGGGATGAACTAGGTTAAAACAAACCAAGGTCCAAAATTTTTACAAGCAATGTAAAATGATTGCTACAACAATATAAGCAAATAAAACTTGCTACTACAAATTGGTAAACAAACCAACTACATCTCAAGCAAACATGCTTCAAACATTTAAATAAAATAGCCAATCCATAAGGATTCTATTTAGTCCAAAAGCCTTTCCACGTTTAGGTATTCCTATTCAACAAAAAAGTTAGTAGTCCAAACATTTTTGTTTTTACATCCCAAATACTATTCATTTGGTTTTATATTTGTTTTTCACATTGGTATCCCTACAAAGAAAGTTAGTAGCAAACCACAACAAAATACAAACAAATAATCTAAAAAATTTAATAAATTAAATGAAACCATCTAGCCAACTTTTAATTATATAAGTAACCAATGCATTAAAATGCTAATTAAATTAAAACTTTAAAATAAAGTTCTATACTCATGGGTTATGAATGAAATTAATTCATAATAAACATTTAAACTATTAACTCCAAATAAATAAGTTAAATTCAAAGTTAATGCACTCAATTAAATAATTCAGATTAATGCTCCCAATTAGATAATTTAGATTAATGCACCTAATTAAATAATTCACATGAATGCACCCAATTAGATAATTTAGATTAATGCTCCCAATTAGATAATTTAGATTAATGCACCTAATTAAATAATTCACATTAATGCACCCAATTAGATAATTTAGATTAATGCACCTAATTAAATAATTCACATTAATCCTGTACACAATGAATAAAAAAAAAAAAACTCTATAACTCCAAAATACATTAAATTATGTAATCTAGTCTAGAAAATAATAAGCGTGTAACAAATTAAAACTAGAATAGAATTAGCATGTCAAAATTGCAACATCCATTAATTATATTTTATAACCTTAAATTCCATGCAAATTATGATAGAGAATTCTAACTAAACTAAGCAATTAGAGAGTACCATTACATAATTTACAATAACTAAAATAGTGAGCAATACCTCAACAATTCCTAGTAACATTATACAAAACTAACCTAATAGTCTATATAAATCTATTCGATCAATTTCATAGAAAATATATATAAAATCTGTTTTATGCTTGTTGTTCAAATTGTGAAATTAAATAAATAGATTTATGAAGAAATCAAATTATATACCAAGAACATATGCTGATAATTACAATTAAATTTCAACAGAAATACACAAAACAATAAAAGGGTAAAGAGACGAAACCGAAGCCTACACGGAAGCAGTTTCCTTAAAACAGATTTCGCCGCCTCACGGGTCGAGTGCTGGAGGAATCCCGGCGTCTGTCTCTCAGGATACAACGGTCAAAACCAGCTACGGCAGAAGCACTTTCTGTCTAGCTTAGCGAACAAGAACAGTGGCAGCACTCTCTCAATGTAGGAACTTTCTGGCAAACTGACTTGTAAAATGGAAGCAAAAATTTTCTATATTGAAACTTGATAGGAGGGTCTCAATTTATACATGTAAAGGGGAGAGAAGAAGAGCCTCCAGCCTTTAAGGCTGATCATTAAAACACCAAGCACCCATAGCCCCTTTCCAAAAATATGAAGTTCCCAAAGGATTCACACCCTTTAGCCAAGAAAAATGATTTAAATACTTTTTAAATCCTATTCATGAATCTAACATTATGAGGCAATTTCTTGACAATTTCTTATTTAAAACCCAATGGTTTTTGGCTCACTTGGACCTAACACAATGAAAGGTTGGGACACACTTTAATATTAAATTAAAGTCACCAAAAATTATTTTTTCCAACAATATTTTATTTCATTTTGAAATAAAAATTATAAACATTCAATAAATGTTAACTAAAATACTCTAATATAAATTTTCTTTTATTTTTCTTCCCTAATAAATAATCTGCGTAGATAATGTATTTATCGTTTATTTTTTCAAAAAAACAAAAAAAAAAGGCCTGCTCAGCCCGAGGCCCTAGTCCAAGGCCGTCAGTCCCACTCTAGGCCCTATTCTGAATGGGCCTAGGCTTGGGCTTGGGCCTGGGCCGACTTTTCGGCCCATGTGCCGACTCGGCCTAGCCTGCCAAAAAAAGGGAGCCCGCAAATCCTGCTTGGGCCAAGCCGGGCCATTATTACATCCCTATGGTTTATATACGAAAAGCTATGTCGGTCATTTTACATATGCTTGTTCTTATGGATAAAGAAAATCATAGCCTAGATTTTTGGACTAAGAAAATTTGAAATTGAATTTCTCAACCAAGTGCCCTAGAATAATTTAACTTCTTTTTTCTTTTTTTTTTTTGTGGAAAGAATCAACTATTTTTTATTTTTTATAGTGATTTTTTTAATTTTATTTTATAATTATTTTAGTCTATTGCCAAAACAGTTAAAATGAAAACAGAGATTAAAATACATGTTAAAAAAAAAAAAAAAAAGGTACAACAGCTATATATACAGTTATATACACAGTTAAATTTATAGTAAATAGGCTTATCTTTTTTCAATCCTATTGGCCAATGTAATTGGACATAATTTACAGTTTCACATAGTTACATCTCAATGTGGGGTTAAATGAACAATTTTACCATGAAAATAGTGATCTAAGTCCGTAATTAAATACACAGCTAGCCATGGTTATATCCAACTGTTTGTTTAATTGTATAACAGTGTCAGTGAACACAATAAAATTTCACTGCTTGATTGACTGTATGTTTTATTAACCTTCTTAATATTATTGATCAACATAATTACATACGATTTTTAGTTTTACATAGACTTTAATGTGAGGATTAAATGAGCAATTTCAACCTGCAAATTTATTATTAAAGTAGACAATAAAATATAGGTCGAATTTCTCTCATGTTAGAATCTCACATACATACGGGAACTTGAATGATTTGTGGAGTCCGTCATAGTTTCTGTTTCGATGATCCTTGAGTAAAATATTCATGTAAAAAATTAATATAATCACATATAAATAATTATATATTTGAATCAAAATTATATTACAAAAAATTAATAATTATTCTTAAAATTATATTTATCGCCTCCTTTTTTAAAATAAATATGATTCAAATATATAATTACTAATGTCCAATCATCTTGATTTTTTGCATGAAAAAAGTTAATGGTTTAAATCATTAGAATTAATTTCGAAATAAGCTTACCAAGTTTAAACGTTCTCCCAAGTTGAGGTACCCAACTTGAGAGAACAAATCCATAAAACATATGGTTAGCTATAATTTAACTTTTTCATCAATCATGTTCTTAACACATTTGATAACAAAAAATCTATCTTTATTTTGTTATTTATCATCTGCAATTTAGTCTCCGGATGTTAGGACGTATATATTATATAGAATGTGAGATTCTGTAGCTGGTGATACAACATTAGAAAATTCACATTTTTCAACTTCTACAAAGGTAGTCAACCCACAATTAACTGCAATGAAATCAAGTACCCAAAATTTCTGTCAAAAAATCTAAAAATTATAACATAAAATGAGCCCAAAATGTCCCTGAAAAAATAAAAATAACAATAACAATGAACACTAATTCACCCATCCCCAACACCAAGGAAGCAATAATGCTAGCAACGGCTTCTCAACTTTCAGCTCAACTCAAGATCTCCCTCAACTGCTTTGCCACTTGCCATTTGTCATTTGCCCTTGCACTCAAAAAAGGAGCCCGGGTCAGGTCTGGTTGGGTCGGATTGGGCATTCGATCCTTCTATAATGAGGCACTTTACAACATTCTAAGGCTACATGAGAAACGAAGTAGTGTCAAGAGCAACTGCTAGAGCTGGTCCGACCAAAGAATTAGAATTGAGTTTATCACATTCAAATTGCTGTGTAATTGGAGAAAAGCTGCATCAAGTTATCCAGTGCATCTGGCAAAAACTTCCTCGCAAATAAGTAACACGGCCTTTGCATTCCATTCCATATGCACGGACTAACCTGCACTTCCTTCTGCAGCACCGCAATAATATAGTTTTCAGAATTTCTGTCCTAAACAGAATTTAATAAGCAAGAATTTTTGGATTTGGAAGATTAGTCAACACATACCCTTTCATCACTAGTAACATGCACACTTTCATCAATAGACTGCAAAATATATAAGAGAATGCAAACTGTCAACTCCGAGTCCAAGCATCAAAACACTCAGCTAGAAATCATGTAGATACATAACAATGTAATAGTGACAGAGAAAAGCAGAGCTATACAGAAATATTTTTCAAGAGCTTGTAAGTAACATCGTGAGCCCTGTATGATTTTGGATGCCACTTTCCCTCAGACCAATCAACATTTGTCACTGACCAGTTTGCAATGCCATTTGGATCGATCATCTAAAAATACGCAAAGAGGGAAGTCATTCAATTTAAAATGGTTTGAAGGCAAGAGTCAGAAGGTACAGAATAAGTAAGAGAAAAAAAATAAAAGATGTTCTCACATGGAAAAAGGTGGGCAGGTAATGTTCATCGGAATAGCAATTGCGCCCATTCATATCTGGCTGTGAATACCAAAAACATCAACATCAGTACATTGTTGCTATGAACCATGTTCAAAAATTCCATATTTTGCATACAAATGCAGAAGTTTCATATCAAATATAAGGAAGAAAAAAACAAAAGACAAAAAACTTGTGATAATTACAGAAGATCCTAACCAGGTTTACAAAAATGAGCAAGTATCCAAGTTTAACCTATATTGGTCCAGTCCAAAACACAATCATAGCAAATCTATACAGTTGTGAAAAGATGTACCTAATACCAACTATATCCCTCACAAAGTAATAATACGACTAGTATTTTCCCCACCTAATTGCAACAGGCTCAATTTATTCTCCCAATATTGCAAATTCTGCTACCTGTTATGCTGTGTGAAAAACTAACTTCGGTAATACTCTTAGGTGGTGTTGATAAAATTGAAAACAAAAAAGGGAATATTGAAAATTAAGTATTGAAAACTGAATGCTGAATTTTTTAAAATTAAAAAACTATTTGGTAAAAGTGCTGAACTAAAAATAAGTTGTTTCATATGTACACGATCAAATTTGAAATTTATTATTTTTAAATTATATATTTCAATTTTTATATTGTGATGGTGGTGGTGGTGGTGGTGGTGGTGGTAGTAAAATGATGGTAGTGCCTATGGCAACAATAACAATGGTGGTGGTGGTGGTGGTAGCGGTGGTGGCATGATGGCGGTGGTAGTGGCGAGGCAACGACAGTGGTAGTGGCGGTGGTAGCATGGTGGTGGCTATAGCGATCCCGGTTGTCCCTTTACTGTTCTGTTGTATTCCGGACTCAGTTCCGTGGAGTTGGTAGTTGTATCTATCTTGTTGTCATCCTTTAATTCCATTTGTTCGGGTTTTGGGATGTATTGGGCAAAGTTGTTACAGGTTGGTTGGGCTTTGGTTTCAATTCTTTGTTATCCAGTTTTTAGGAGGTCCGCTCGAGCGGGTCTTCTTGCGCTTGAGCGGAGATTGCACGCTCCCTGTATTTTGGTGCTCTGCAAAACTTCTGCAAGCATGTTTTTCACGCTCGAGCGGGTTTCTTTGCGCTCGAGCGGGTACTCTGGCGCTCGAGCGGGTAGTACTTCATGGTGTAAGTTCTGGGAGGGGGAAATCTACGCTCGAGCGGACTGGTTTTCGCGCTCGAGCAGATGTACTTTATTCTTGTGTCTTGGCGCTCGAGCGAGCCTTATTGTGCTCGAGCAGACCTAGTTTTTTGTTCATGACGCTCGAGCGTTGTGTTCTCCGCTCGAGCGGGAATGTCGTATATCAGTTGGCAGCTGGGCATTTTAAAATCACTTGTTACATTCTCTCTCTCTCTTACTTTCCAAAAAGACTTTTTGAGAGTTCCTTCTCTAGAAACTCCCTTCTCTCTAGGGTTTGATCTAGTTAGAGTGTTTCCCTTCCCTTCGGCCTTTGTAAAAGTTAGGTTGATCGTCGAGGGCTACGTTTTGATCCGAGTATATTGAGTTTTGGAGCACGTTGAGTTTCTTCATCTTCCTTCCTTGAGCTCCGAATTTGAGGTAGGGATTCCTACTCATTCTTATGGTCTTTGACATAGATTTTTGGTTGTTTTGATAAAGTGTTGAAATTGGGTGAATTTTGGGACTTAGGATTTCAAAATGTTAAAAGAGGATTTGTTATTTTGAGTCTAATATGTGTATTGTGGGTTCAAAATGATGATATTGATATTGGTTGTGGATATTTAGACCATTGGATCAATATTGGGAAATCGGGTGAAAAACCCTAATTTTGGGAAAATTGTGACTTTATGGAATTGATTTGGAAATAATGAAATTGGTTCATTATATGGTTGAATAATGGAGTTAGATTTATTAATCGCTCACTTTTGAAAACATTGATAGTTTATCTGTTGGAGCTTTTATTATCTGTTTAGAAATAATTGCTTGGGCTACCGGTGGAGGGTAGTTTTGATTATTATAGACAATGCATAATGATTAGGCAAACTAAAACTAATCAATTGGATATGTCATAGAGTATGACGGTTGATAGAATACATTAGCGTTATGTATTGATTGATTGTGTATATGACCTTTGTGTATATATGTTGTGTGTGGGGAAGGAGATAGGGGATGTACTCCACGGTTTAGGGGAAGATAGGGGATGGACCTCTAAACCGGATGTTGTTTGGGAGGAGATAGGGGATGGACTCCGCTGATACAGCTCATATGCTTGTCAGTTGGAAGTGTTGATACAGCTCATATGCTTATCTTTGGAAGTGTTGATATAGCTAATATGCATATCTGTTAAAATGTGGATACAGCTTGTATGCTTATCTGTTGAGATGTTGATACAACTAGTATGTTTATCTATTGTAAAATGGGAAATGTTTAATATGAGTCACTGTCTCATATAAGTGGTTGGCCAGGTTCTGAGCCGTTGATGTAAATTGTGAAATTGAAAAAAAATGAAAATTTAAATGAAACATGAACATAGTGGTCATGAAATAGAAATGGGTTATGAATTGGTTTATGAAAATTGAACATTTATCAATTGCTAATATCTTAGTCATTGCTCATACTGTGTTTAGCATATCTCTACTGGGCGTTGGCTCACCCTTTATAGGACATTATTTTCAGGTACAGGTAGTATGCCACC